TGACGTACAATATTGCAAGTAAAAAGCAAAATTCGCAGAGATTGCCGCGTCAATGACTTTTATAAATATTATACCACACGAGCAATTTGCGAATATCGTTCAAAACAACTTTTTTTTCACCATTTGGCCAAATGAGAAATTAATAGCCTAGGGCACGATCGATGGAAATCATCCGTATCAGATAAAAAAATATATCAAATTTTTCTTTCGTTATGAAAATAAAACATCCAACTTTTTATCGCGTCACGTTAAAGATAAATTGTTAAACTTAGTAATTAAATTCAATATATTGCAATACGCACTGCAGTACGCTTTAATTTGTAACAAGCCTGTGCAACAGGCGCATATTCGCACTGCCAATCATTATAATTTCGAATAACAGAGCGAACGGGTGTTACATTGGACAAACTGTTTATTTGTCAATTTCGACAATCGCGCGTATTATACATTGACGGGATTGAATTTCATTCGACTTTACAAGCGCCATCGGGGTGTAATTAATTTCGTCGAAACACGTCTATCACAGTAAAACGAATATAATTGAGTGATAAAGTATGAATTGGATATTGCATGAATTGGATATTACTTTCAGATTAAATCAACAAGTCAAGTTTATTAATATTTTTAAAGATTTTTGAAAAAATATTATTTTTATTTTTTGAACAATTCAATAAAAATAAATCAACTTAAACTATCGATCAGCATTAAATTATTGCAAACAACATTTACTAAACATTTATTATTAATACGTTTATACTTACAAAGAATTAAATAATTTTTATAAAATATAATCGCGTCTTTTTCTCAAGTCATTCACAGTGTGTTAGTTTAATAAAAACTTATTTATAAGCGCTGCTTATTTAACGCTCAATTTCCGGCGGAAAGTAGGCGAGACTACTACAATCAAATTGAAAATTTTCCTGCTTTACCAAGGAGAGCCTGAACTTTTTGCGAGAAAATTTTTGCATAAAGAGGCGCGACAAAGGGGAAAACGTTTTACAGCGCTCACGATGTAATTACGGTTTCCGCTTCGAAAATCCGTTTGAGCCGTCCTTGAGCGTATTAATCGCGTATTAATCCTCCCGTTAAATCTCCCAAGGGGCTTTCGTCATCCGTTTGTCGTGCGCTTTATTCGATAATCCATCCAGTGAGAAGGGAGAAGGGTGCGCCTCGTTGCATTCGCAACTTGTTGCATCGGATCGTCGCGCGCGACGTTCCTTCGGAGTAGACGCGACACGCGACGCCAAATAGTCTTCTCGCCCGCCATTCTCCTGCCTCGACCTTTTACTCTTGTCGGGACATTATCTCGACACGAGACTACTCAATGGCCCTCGCCGCTCCCGTGGCTTTCCGCCGGATGAGAGCCGTGAAGTCGCGTTATACGCGACATATCGGAGTGGACTCCACTTTGCCATGTCACTCTGCACTTCCGCAGATTGAAGCGAAGATTGACCTCGGCTTGATATCGGTTTTTCGATAAAAACGTCCTTGCCTTGTCAGTCGGGAATTGTAAAGCGGCATTTTTACATTTCTGATACGCTGATACGGTGAAGATATATCATAAAAGAAAAAGGAGCGTGTCGATTCGTCGTACAAAAGCGTATAATATTCACAGCCACTTCGTCATTATGCTTTTCTTCTGTGGACAGGAAAGATTTCCTTCTTCTTTGTAGAAAGAAAAAGAATGTAAATAAAAGAAAGGAAAGAAAAGGAAAATTGATGCATTATATTTAAATTTAAATTTAAATAATTACATATTTAGATCGTTACGCTCGCATATAAATTCTTACCTTTGAATGAAATGTCAATAAAATTGTCTTTAATGCAGTACTCTCCGTTCCTCTCCTTCGGCGAAGGTAGCTTTTAGCCTTTAACCTTACTCATTGTTTCATTTGGAATAAAAATAACAAATTCGTAACAAAAAATTGTCCGCCTTCATTTCTGTGACCATTCATCAGGAGTAGAAAATGTCTGAGGACAAGGAGAGCTTTTAGAGCAAGAAAATACTGTATACTTCTCACGATACGATTTTCCCCTGCATATTTCATTCTACGATATTATCAGCTGTCTCCAATGCAAAAGCTCGAAGCAAGTGGGTAAAAAAAAAACGTACACGCGAGATTGTAATTTGCAAGGACATTCGCGATATTCGCCGGCTTCCAGACGGCGGGGAGATGCTCGCGCGAAGCTAGCCGGAAGATAGCCGAAACGGGTTAATTAAAGCTCGAACGATGTATACGTGCGTGACCGTGTGTGTGTGTTCTCTCCCGCACGAAAAGTTTTCCCATGCATACTAATGATACCTGTGAGGCAACACGTGATCTACACTCGGGATGACAGTTGGACCTGCGATCCAAAGTAACGCGGTTGCATATATGCGCGAGGATAACGGTGTTCCCGTAATTCCCGTAATTCCGCTCTCCTCGTGAATCTCATCCAACAACCTTGTGCGGCGAATACGAATTCAATCTTCTAAATCGACGATATCAAAGCATATTTCATATTTCTTTCGTTGAATGTAGTAAAAACGCGTATCTATTTTTTAAAAGTATTGTAAGTTTATCGCAAACAAACATGGAACATTCAAGCGCAATTGCAAACAATATGATTATTAATATTAGATAGATGCATTTGTTTTTAGGGTTTGATATAATTGTTTGTAAATTTCCTAACTGGAAAAATAAGTAATTAAGTAAAAATACAGATATTATTTTGTTATATGTAATTATAATAAATAAATAATTATGTAACGTTTATTATATTTGTTAAATTTGCACTTTTTGCAATCTTTACGCTTGATGAAAATGGAATTTTCTAAATTTTTTTATCAAATTTTTAATAATGTTTTAATAAAAATTAATAATCCTTGCTTTATTTAAAATGCAAATTTTAATTCGCGATCGTTGCGAATAAGATAAGCTACAACACGTGTAACTAGCTAACGTGCGCTGTTTTTGAAAGATAATTACATCTTCGTCGACTGATCGTCAAACACTTATTTAAAATATAACGAAACTTCATTAGCTACATCAATTTAACTACTAACCGCAACACTCGTCAAGTTACTACAGCTCATACTGTTAGTAACGATAGAAGTAACGGTGCGTGATGAGAAACGCGATTTCATCAGGGCACGATCGAACCTACATCGTCGCCGTCGGCGACGTTTGCTTTTAAGAGCGAAATTAAATCCATAAAATTTTCCGACCTTCAGCGTTTTGCGATGTACGGAGCAATTTCATTTTTCCTCCTTTTGCTTACTATCCCGGCACGTTACGGAAGATTACAGCTTCGGAAGGCCTCCAAGCGAAATTTCACAAAATTATACGATTATATCGCTAAAATCATTCCACTCAGAAAGAAGGAGAGAAAAAGTGAAAAAGTACATCACTTGTCCGTGCGTTGCGTAACGCGTAACTTCCGATTTTTATCGAATTTATCTATCGGTGATTTCTATCGGTGAACGAGGTATAAGTTCTGGAAACGGAAAAGATTACTTGATGATTTTCGAGCTGGGAGGAAAAAAGCGAGATCTGTCAAGCAAGATCTCCGATATGACGTCGGCCTTAACTCTTGTAATTAGTTGCGCGAGTCAAGTAAATGATATAATGACGAGTTTTACGAGTAATATATCGATCTGTTCGCGGGATGGTGCATTCAGGGCCGACCTCGCTGGTGTAAAGGGTCTACCGAGTCTTACAAAGGACAGTCTTACAAAGGACAGTATTAATACTAAACGAAGCAATTAAAAGCAGGAAAGTGTGATAATCTTTTACAAGGAATTCCCAAGGCTTCCTCACAAAAGCTATAATTAAATAACAACTGATGAACGAATTAATTTTCATGGTTTTAAAAAAAAAAAAAAAG